ATAAGATATCAAACGTAAATTTATTGTTACTTGGAAATAATATTGTAGGAGGTGTTCTAAAATTATTTTTGTTCCGAATGGATAGGGCCCACGTCATGTTCCTCTGTCTTTTGGTTTCCCACCAGAGGAAAGGGCAGTTTACGGTTCCGAGGTCTTCTTGCTCGGCCTTTTTGGGCTCCAGGAGTCGGAGACATGCCCAATAAAAATATCCGTATGTTGAGATATATTACAATGGACATATTGATACGAGCAATTTTTATGTCAATTTAAGTGGATAATCAATCAAAGTTTCTATCTATTCATGTTACTTAGAGATCTTTACATGATATGAAGAGTCTTTTTATATATATAAATGAGTGGATAGAAACTTTGGTGGACAAAGACTTGATGTCCAATTAAGTTGACATAAGATCAACTCATATTAATACATCGGATTTTTTTGTTAAAGTTTCCGCTTAGGACATGTTCGGTTTACTAAAGTTCTAGGGTGAAGAGGGGAAATCAATTCTAGAAACAAAAAGGAGTACTTTTAGCATAATAAGATTTTGTATAATTTGCTTATTTCAAAAAAAAAAATTTAAGAAAAGATTTCTACAAAATTAAAAAAATAACTAATTTCTAGGATTTGCTGAATCTTAACTTTTTACAGAGGATTTAGACGGAAAGCGTACACATTAATGCCACATTGACATCCTTTCCTTTCTCTATTTCTGTCTCCCTCTTTTTCTAGTTTTACTTTCCTATTTCTTGGGTTTAAACCAAACATTAGATTACAAGTTTCAAGATTTACTATCCTACTATCATGTTGAACCAGGGAAAAAAAAAAAAAAACAAGCTGTTCCAAAATGCCAATAAAAAGCAATGGATTTGATTTCTTGATGGAGATTGCATTTCCTACATTTTCAGGAAATGAACCAAGCGGCTCCTTATCTAATGGACTTCAATTTGCTTCATTAAAAAAAAAAAAATTTCAGATACAGTTCTTAGATCCATACCCTACGACTACAACTGCACGGTCGAGCTCAGTTTCACATTCTCCAGTTAACATACCCTGCAAAACAACCGAGATTTCATTAAGCGCTTGAACTCGCTCCTCAGTCACAAGTATAATGTGGTGAAGTGGGCGTACGTACGAGTTCTAGAAAAGAAATGCGACAACAAAATAAGCCAATCAATCTAATAATGATAATGTACATTCATCTAACCAATAAATATACGGGTTAATTTCGCAAAACCCGACTGGATTTTGTGCATAATCTCCCTAAACTTTGTTTATCTTGCATAACCCTCTGAACTATGGGGTGTCTCACAAAACTCCCTTAAAGCTTAGCTTATCTAACCAAATCCCCTGTCTACAATTTGTAAAATTTTATGCATAACCCTCCTAAAATTTGTTTATCTTGGATAACCCGTTGAACTATGTCTCACAAAACCCTCTTGAAATTTAGCTTATCTCACCTAACCACCTGTCTACAATTTGCAAATAACTAAAATGTCTTTGAATGACAAATTCACAAACTTTATCACCTATCATTTATACGCAACACACTCCTTTCCCTAAAGTTTGAGTTTTTTCTCTAAAAAATTTAAGTTATTTGCAAATTACAGAGTATTTGTAATAAACAAAGTTCAGGGGGATTATGTGCAACACTCCAAGAGAGTTTTGTGAAAGTAACCCTAAATATAATTAGGGAGATGACAAATGTAATTAAATACTAAATTTGCATTTGAAAATAATTTCCACTAATATAATTGTAGATATCAAAATATTAAATATAAAAGTTAATTTCTTGCAATAAATATTACATGCAATATGGATTTGGATTCTCTCTACTATAAAAAAAAGTAATGGATAGACTACTGCAATATCATAACTGTTAATTTTTTTAGTTGGCGATTATCATTCGTTCCATATTTAACATAATATCCCCATGAATTATAATATTTTCCTAATTTATACTCAAAGGCAAATCATAACCATCCATTAAACAAATCAACGGTTGTGATATTGTAGTAGTCTCTCCACTACTTTATTGCGGTGGAGAAGATCCAATTTCCATTTAACATTTGCTGCAATAACATCTATTGCACATTATTTTTGCAGCAAATAAAAGAGCCCCTAAATCTAAAGAAATTCTTAGGTGCTCCATGAGCATATACCACACCAATAAGCAAAGGGTATGTATCACAAGAAAAAATATTTAATTCTATCATTTTCTCATTTGCAAGTTGTTTACGCCACATGACCTTTTCCTATTGGCATGGTTTAGTAGTGCTTAGGGAGACCTAAGAACTTTTCATAATAAAAATTATAAGGGGGTGTTTGTTTCACCAAAAAATTTGGCGCTTGGTATAGATTACAAGTTTTTGGATCAAAAGTGAGTTTTTTTTTGTATTTTGAGATTCCATATATGGTGTTTGTTTTAAGAAAATTTTTAGAATATCGAATCCCAAAAGTGCAAAAAGTACTCAATTTTTAGAATTTGCAAATCCTCTCAATGGGAGAGGATTTTGACAAATCTCATAAATGAGTGTGCTTACCTCTCAATTTGAGACAATTGGAGAGGACTTGACAAATCCTAATTTTGTCTTTTTGTGGGAGGTAACCTCACCAAGATAGCATATTCAAAATATTACAAATTACAGTATTCCAAATCCTAAAATATTAATGAAACAAATAATATTTTAGAAATCTTAACCCATAACAAAACACCTATAGGTTTCAAATCCCATGGTAAAATCCATATCCTAAAATTATAGGATTGGAAACAAACACCCCATAAGTGTCTCACAGTTTTCCATACTATTTTGACATCAACACTAAAAAATGAGTGGGGTTATATTGAATCACCAATTTTTTTTTTATAATTTTGAATAAAGGACCCCACTCTTTTACGTGCGATAGTAGAACTATCATTTCTCATTTCTTAAAAATATCTCTGTTTTTCTTTTCCAAGGTTAAGCCACGCGGAAACCTGTCATCACTCAGTTGGGCCGACAGGTCAGAAACTCGGCCCAATCGAAGGATCAGAGCGTTCAAGCGAGTTGGGGGACAGTTTTATCGGACTAAGAAGTCACAAAGTTCGGTCCAATCAGAAGAGGCTGTTAGGCTCTGCGGTGCGGTCTCCTCGATTCTGATCGACTCCTGCGAACAGCGGCACTGGCTGGAGACATGACCAATAAAATGAGAAGGAATTCTTTTCCGTGATCATTTTATAACCTAACGTTGGAAAAATTCCTCAAAACCCAAAATATGGGATCAATAGGGGATAAGTGAGGTGTCCCCTTCTTATTAGATAATGAGTTGGTCATCATTAATGATAACCAACTCATTATCCAATAGGAGGGAGACACCTCACTTATCCTCCTATTGGTTCCATATTTTGGGTCCCTGTAGCAAAGCTCTTCTCCCGAACCTAAACGCTTAGGATATAAGTCTCATTTTAAAGTTTTAGGTAAAGTAGATAGGAATTGATCCGAGATTAAATTGAAACCTCCCAAGCCTCCGTGTCACTTGCGGTGAGACTTTGGCTTAGGGCCCGTTTGGATAAGGTATTTTTCCCCGAAAATCGGGAGGAAAGCTGTAAAAAATGATAGCTTTATCCCAAAATCGTCTCTTTAATAGGCGATTTTGGAGGAAATCTGTCAAAAAGCTGTCATTTTGAGAGTTTTCCTTCTAATTTTTGGGGCAAAATACCCAATCCAAACGGGCCCTAAATGAGTTGAAGATAAGACCACTAAAGTTATTTTACTCAAAATCCACGAGACCAAGTATAAGACCACAATCATTATGCTTACGAATCTGCACGGTGATCATGGGGTTAGTATCACTTTTGTACATTATTTATACTATACCTCAGGCGCATCGTATACCTCCTCCATGCCTTTTTCTTGGAATTTTACTCAAAAAAATCAATGGCCAACAACGAAAGCATCTCGCTCATCCAATAGTTGGTTTCATAAAATTGTATCGAAAGTAATTTCTCCTAAATTTTAGATAGCGACCGTATATATATATAAAATATATCATATCCTTCTTTAAGTTTCGTATTTATTTATTGAATTTTATTTTGTGTGGCTGTTAGTTTATATGAATTTGTTAGCAATTTATGAAAATTACGGTTCCAAAAAATAGATTTTTGGCCGAGAAAATTTCTAATTTCAAAGTTTGTTTTTTCGTTTTCATACTTCAAAAAGTTCTACGATTTGCCGTAATCTGAGTAAACTTTGCTGTTAGAAATACGATTTTTTTCCGAAGGGGTAGATTTGTATCAACTTTTTCTCCATTCCCGCAATTAATAGCTGTGAGAATAGAGATTACACAGAGATAACTGACGAATTTTCGTAATAAAAAAATTATATGAAAAGGATCTGGGTCCACCTCACACGCGCCTCTATCCTTTTGAGTGCTGCGCCCTTATTATTTTAAGTTTCTGTTATGTTATTTTAATTTCTTTTTAATCCTCCGGGTGATATAATCCAACGTTAACCCATGTGTTTGCATTATTTGGAGGGGGAAAGCCTGCCAAAGTTCTGAAAAATCAGAACTTTGGCAGGTTTTCTTGTAAAATCACCCCAATTTGAGGCGATTTTGCAAGAAAACCTTCAAAAGTTTTGATTTTTTCAGAACTTTTACATGTTTTCACTCTCCAAAAATTACGTCCAAACGGACTCATCCCTACGATCAACGTGGGCTTAGCCAGGGGATTATAAAAGGCGAAGACTACCCGCGCCAATTCCGACATCTACATATTAAACCGTGAATCTTATCCAAAATCACAGAGAAAAAACTGAAGGCCAATCACCGATAATTTGCACATCAATGTTCAATACATGCTATAATGCGTAACTTAATATTCTGACAGCATCGATTTAAAAATAGTAGGGGGTCGCGTATAATAATCTCCTTTTCCCCTGTATTTTTCCATGGAGGGAGGGTTTTTTTTTTTTAAATTAAAAACTTACTGCTGTAGAATACAGAGTGCACGCGGAGATCTCCGTTCATATGAAATCTCACACTGATGATTTGCTGCAACCCCAAATAAATCTTTTAAAAAAGGCATCAGAGCACCTATTTAATCTCGTATCCTTAACAACAAGCGCTACATGAATATTAAAACATGTCTTTCAACAGAAACAAGACACAAGAAGCCACCTCCATGCTTTTGGTGAGCCTTTAAGTCTTAACTGAATCGAGTTTTCCGTATGCTTTCTCCTTCAAAATTTCTCCAAACATGCCAGAGGAAACTTCAAAGCACTAAAGCATAACGCATGTCGAAGTCCTACAAACTTGCATCCTGTGTTGATGCCGGTTTCTTTCCATAACGCTGCCGAAACAATATGAAGCAAGCAATAAAGCATACAACTAAAGGGAAGAATAGAATCAGAAGAAAGAAGAATAAGAAGCTCCAAATACCTGTTTTCCAGTGGAGAAAGGAACATATTTGTATTTTATCATGTGAAGTATCTGCCTCTTCATTGTGGCCACAAATAGCACAAACCAATAGAACACAAGAATAGGCCAAAACACGGGCACATCAAAAGCATCGAAAAATGTCAATATGAAAGCAATGCAGAAGGCTTTTGTAATGGAATACCTGGAGAGGGGAACAAAACAGGCCCTCGGTCAATAACTATTCTACTGGAAAGCAGCATAGTGTTGTGAGTTTCTACATAGCCGTAAGATATAATATAAATGAGAAAAATCAAATGGAACCTCAAGGAACATGATTGTTTGAGGATATAAGAAACAATTGCAGAAAAATCATCCGCAGGTTTTTTTTACTCTTACCACTATACATTCGCATATAAATGCTGCAACTAAATATAGAGGGATCATTATTCAAAGCACATCTATACGGAATCAAGATCTTTTGGCAAGTTCTTCATGTGGGCAGTGTAAAGTACTGAAGCAATCTAATGCTTGAATTATTGGACTGCATAACAAGAATATTGATAACTAGACTATTCCCCTCAAGCTACCCTCACACTACGAGAGAGAATGTGTAGGGTCTATCCTCTTCAATTCCCATCAAAACTGCATGATGGAGCCTCACAACTCTTTCTCCTGCATTGTTAAGGAGTAGTTTGGGAGAGTGTAGTCTAGCTAGCGTTATTCCAAACACCAAAAGCAAAGACCAGAAATTGTCCAGGTATAGGAGACGAAATAACCATTCAACTTAGTACTTCAGCTGACAGCACCATCTACAAGCAATTCGTACATCAAGAACAATCCTCCCTTCCAAATCTCTTAGGGCCACCTCATTAGCCTTTTCTCTCCAGTTATCTCTTAATCTGCCCATTCGCTCTGTTAATTCACAAATACCAATCTTGTTTCACTGCCTTCCACGTTCACTTAAGCTTGCTTGTTGTAGTATTCATGAATTGCTTCCTGCGTCTGTAGCAGGAAAAGAGCACCCACTTTTTGGTAGTTTGACTCACAAGGAACTAAGTACAAGACTGCGTGCATAAAGCGCATTGAAAGCTATACCCAATCATGAAACCTAATGGGAATTGCATGTCTCATGTGAGAAGTTGCTTGCACAGAAATCCGTGAGTTCCTAGTCCAAATGTAATTGTTGGAATTCTATATACCAAAAGAACGCCTTATTATGATCCAATGCACTCATATTTACCAAGTACTGGCACTGCATTTAACTCTTGTAGCACGATAATTAAACATTACGAATGCCCGCATAGCTAGATCTGTCATTTCCTTCAAAACAAATTATCAATTCCTATCCTGAGATTGCTCATCAATGATCTCCAGTCTGCAAGAATCTCTTCAGTTTTTTCCCCACTATAAGTGATTATGGTCCTCAAGGGAAAATACCCTACTAGCACATCATACCTCTGATATCACTACATCACAAAATTTGCTGCTGGCGTTCCAGTGTGCACAAGTACCCCGCTGATGTTCCAGTGTGCGCAAGTACTCCAGATAACCATGATAAAGAGAAGCATCCCTCTATTTTTAAAATTTAATTGAAAACCAACCAAGTTCATATTTATTTACAAGAACAACCAACTTCTAATCACATTAGCATCACAAACGGTTGTTTTTCTTTTTAAATGAATCCAAGGTTCCCACCCCAGATTATTAGTTAGATAGTTAGATGAATGAACTTTGGACCTAGGGTTCCAATCCTTAGGTCAGAAAAATACAATCAACAAGAACAAGGGAGTTCAAACCCGAGTTTGGCAACCCCAGGTTTTTGGACCATGGTTAGCCCAGAAAAATGCAACCAACAAAAACAAGTCAGTTCAAAGCCATGTATGGCAACCCTAGGTACAGTGTGTGCTCTAGCAAAGCCAGTGGCAAAAACTCTTTGATCCTCGACCCATCTCCATCATCACAAATTCTCTGTCTAAGCATCCATCACCACCCCTTATTGAGCCCAACTCTCCTCCGAAATGATATCCTCGTCAAAGGCCACCTGATCCAAGAGCCACACAGGTCAATCCTATTCTTTGGTGTCAACATTGACCCTTAACCCCACCACTAGAATCTTAATTCCCAACTTCCAATGAAGAAGAAAGGCACGTTTTGGGCACTTCAGACATCTCCCACCATTGTGACTACTCAATAGCCAAGTTTCAACTTTCAAGTTGGGATGTGAAGCCCTCTCCAACTTCTATGAGGTGATGATAGTTCCTACAGAGATCATGCTTTTGCTCAGGAATTTGACCAAATAGTAGATTAGAACATTTGAAGAAATTATCCATGTTGTTGAATTCTCGCTAGTGAGTAGAAAACAACAAGTTTTAGGCTCCGGTACTTATTTGACCAAGGCTCAATTTAGCAACCAATATAGGGAAAAGAGGTTCCACCTACCAACACATCAAACCATGATTGTCAACCCCGGTTTGAACTAGCTTACTTTTGTTGACTGCACTTCTTGGGACCATGGTTAGGAGCTTCAAGTCCAAAGTACTTATAACTAACGGATTTGGCGTTGGAAACTCCAAATTCATTTAAAACCCATAAAAACAAAAAACAAAACCAACTTGACTGTGATATTGACGTGAGTGAAAGTTGGTCGTTTTTTAAATAAATGTAAAGTTGGTTGTTTTTAACTTAAATTTTAGATTTCTTTAAAAAATTGTAAAAAATTAATGTGGAGACTACCTGTATGTGTTAATGAACTCACTACTGCACCTATTCTTCCTGAACAATTAGCCTTCCAATCAGTCTGTAGAGCGCACACAGACCTGAACAAACTGCATGCGGTTTCCTATTTTTGTTTGGACCCTTAAAACTGACTATAAATATCTGAAACAAAATCTAGTAAGTTATTGAATTTAGGTCTTCTGTGGAATCCAATGGTGTGAATGGATTGGTCCACTTGGATAATAAGACTCAATTTGAATCCGATCAATTCCACCCCTAATTATGTGTTCCAAGAATTTTATTTTAGGAATATAGATTAAAGTTGAAGATTGCACTCAGTTATCCTTCTAAATTCTGGTCAAAGTGAATAATATTCACTCGCTGTTGGATATGGAAAAAGAGTTTCGCATCTAGGTGATATCCTAATCTGCAAGAGGAAAAAAAAAAGTACTGCAACTTTGCAAGTCTGCAATGCGTAGCCTGACCATAATCCATATTCATCTATTTATAATTTCTTTCTCTTTTTTCCTCCATTTAGCAAGTAAAAATAGCTTTGCTCAACTTAGTCCTTATGCATATTTATCTTTGGCATGTTACACTCCACCTTTTACTACAAAGCCTTAGTGACCTCAGCTTTGGTTATAACAACTGAAATAGTTAGAGACAAATTTACAATTTGGCTTAGACCTAGCCAAATACCCAACACATAACCAATAACCAATAACTTATAGCTGACTAATTTGTAGTAGATCATACTTCTTAGGTTCTCAACTGGAACAAATGAAACACCAACATCGCTATATCATACAAGAAGAGACAACAACATATCATAAATATTTGATATATATGCTTCAAAAACCCTAAAACGATGTGCATTCTAAAAGTAATGGATCCCAATAATTCAAGTTCCAAGAACAAATTTTCAACAAGCAGGAACAAGTACTGAAGATGAGTAAGGGGGAGAGACTCGCATTAGGGCCAGCTTTTCATACTTAACAGCCGAAACCCTAAATATACGTCCATGCACATTTCACTCGATCGACTAAGACCTCAAGATGCTACAGCTTTTTCCCCATCAATCACTTAAATGTCTCAATCCCAAACCCTCCAAAAGAGCTTATTCCAGATCAAGTCAACCATTTTTCAAAACTCAAACAAGTACTAAAGTTGAGCAAAAGAGAGAGACTGCTCATTGGCACATTAGTGCCAATTTCATACTAAACAGTTCAAGCCCTAAATCTATGTTAATGCACATTATAGTGGATTTCATCCAATAATCACCAAGATCTCGATCCTAAACCCTCCAAAAGAACTTCTTCCCTATCAAATCTAACAATTTTCAGGAAATCAAAATCAAACTCACCAGAATTTGAACTCAGGTAACCGACGAACAAAAGGCCGAAACTCATCGGACGATTTCGTCGGCAGCGTGGGCCCCTCTCCGTCGACGAGCCCCTGGATCTCGGGATCAACCTGAGGCGAGAGGAAAGCGATGAAGAGGTTGAGGACGTAGATCCCAAGGGCATACGAGACCACGTAGAAGCCCTCGATGGTCGCCACGCGTATGATGTAGATTAGGGCAACAATCGCAAACCCTAGCCACCGCCGGAGCACGTGCGGTGTTGATTTGTCGAGCACGTGCTGGTAGCGTTGAGAGATGACAGCCATCCATGCAGATACGAAAGGGATGCCTCCGCCTCCGCTGCCGTCGCCGCCGATGGAGGTGGCGGTGGCGGCGGAAGAGGAGGAGGAAGAAGGGTCCATCATCGTTTTCCTGGCTTTGGGCTGGAGAGGACTGGATTTGAGATCTCTTCGCAGTAGTTAGATTTTGTAAGTGTTATGTAAATTTGGAGTTTTGCGAGGGCTTGGGTGTTCATTTTTATTTTATTTAAAGTGTTTTGTTTAATGCGATACGTTTCACCGCTAAAGAGATTAAATAACGGGTTAATAATAAGAAGAAAAAAGGGAAATATGGAGTATGACTTTGATAGTTATATGGACGAAAGTACACATTCACTTTCAATTTTAACTTTACAACAATTAATAAATAAATAAATGAGCGGTTGAAATGCTTCCATCTTATCTGCTACTTATCCTACTGCTACATTAATTTTTAAAAACGCTACAGTGGTTTTTAATAATGATACAGTATCTCGCTTATGCTACAGTGTTATTGATTTAAAAAATCTGCAGTAATAATGCTACAGTAAATACTGTAGCATGAATTTTGATTCTTGGTTCTCTCGTTATTATAGATGTACTCACGTGAGGATCCAAAGATTTACTATTCATACTACAGTAACAATACTGTATGTTGCCATAAAACTGTGAAAGTTAATAGGTTTGGATGAAAGTTAACATAAAGCAACGAAAGTTAACATTCAGTATGAAAAGTTAACATACTAGGAGAAAAGTTAACATAAAGCAGCGAGTTAATACGAACGCATAATGAGCATATCTTGTGTGATGCAGTGCTAAAATTCATTCAGTACATACATGCGTTACTTATGCTTCATGTGCACAAGTTGAAATAAGCAAATAGGAGCATAAGCACAGGAGAAATACATGTTATGTCAGAAATAAGCAAATAAGAGTATAAGCAAATAAGAGCATAAGCAAATAAGTGCTAAAATTTATTCAGTACATACATGCGTTACTTATGCTTCACGTGCACATATTGAAATAAGCAAATAAGAGCATAAGCACTGGATAAATACATGTTATTGTCAGAAATAAGCAAATAAGAGCATAAGCTATTAAAGGGTAAATGTATTTAAACATCCATCATTAACCAAAATTAAACTAAGTGCACATGAAGGATTTTGCTTAAGCGTGAATTTCAAGTTGTTGCCTATTTCAATATATCCTAAAAGTTAACATGTATTACTTGTAGTTAATTCTTTTAATCAAAAGTTAATATGTTCAGCTAAAAGTTAACATCTTTAACTTAAAAGTCAGTTGAGAGTTAGCGGGAAGCAAAAACAGTATACCTCAGCTAAACAAGTACATTACACAAAATTTCTTACATTCTTACAGTTGATATTGCTTGAATACATAATATGATTAGTCTTACAGCTTCACAGATTACAAAAGTCTTCCACAATATACTACAAAATTCTGGACGACCTATATTTCTATAAAAAAAAGTATTGTTGTAAGAAGCAGTCCACCCACATGTACAACAAACGATATCACATACTCCTACAACAAGCTGATACATCGCGTATCTGTCAATGCTTAATCAAGAACACAAAACCCTAGGAAAGAATGGAGAGTTCCACATGAGCCAACAAAGCTCCATCCCAACTTTCTTCATATGTTAACCTTCTTCAAAATGGAGAGTTTCACCTGTTACATGTTAACTTTCACCATAATATGTTAACTTTCTCCATAACACGTTAACTGTCAGGTGAACATGTTAACTTTCATCATAATACGTTAACATTCACTATTATATATTAACTTTCACCATAATATGTTAATTCTCTTCAGAACATGTTAACTTTCAACTGAACATGTTAACGTTCATCATAATATGTTAACTTGTCATATGTACGTGTTAATTTATTCATCTATAACATATTTGAGGACTTTTCTTGAAGGTCTGAAACAAATCTCAAATGGAGAGACAAGAGAAGGAAATTGCTATGATTAATCCACATTTTGAAGAACTTAAATGGTTTTTTTTCCTTGTTGTTCCTCTTCATAAATTGATACCAAAGCAGGAGTGGTGTGTAATGATTAGAGAGACTTAATTTAAAAGTTATTGTCTGCACTAAAAATGTGGCTTAAAGCCCTTTATTTTTGCCATTGTTCAGTCTCTATGACGGATTAAAGTTCATTTTCACGATGTGCTTACTCAATGCATGGTTGTTGACGATTTGAGTGTATTGGCTGCTGGTTAGCTATCATAAGAATACAAACATTCTTCTATTTTGTAATTTATACCGAATTCATGCCTCCAGGATGTTATGGAACACAGATAGGTAGTGTTTTAATTTTGTTCTATTTTATTTCATATCAATACAGGTAGCTCAATTTGCAATATCCCGTGGTACATAATTAATTAAACTATCAGAGAAATTAATTCCTCATTTTCTTCTATTTGAGCAACAGAGATAATTAGTTCTCGGCAGCACCACATCTCGACAGCACCGCACCGCATCGCACGCAAACATCCAAACCCCACATCCCCCGCCACCACTGCGCACCCACTCAACTTGCGTCCAGACCCCCCGTTGCACACCCGTCAACCTGCGTCCAGGCCCCCACTCCACACCCGTCAACCTGCACCTCATCACCCAAACCCCATCACATCTATTTGCTCCAGCTTCCTCCCACGCAGGCCAGCGCACAAACCCCCTGGCACAGTTCTACTATTTCTCCTCTTTTCCTCTCAACGAAAGCTCAAACATCTGTCGCGTGCCAATTGCTTGATGATGTGTCGCACTGCAGTCCAATTCCTTCATCTTGCTGCCAACTAACCTTGCATCACTACAGTCGACCACCCCCTTCCCTGCTAGTGCCCATCACCAGTGCCACCACTGCTCCGTAACGACCCTTCCAACAATGCTGCCCCGGCTCGCCTCGGAAGCCCTCTCTCGCATCTTCCTGTCAGTGATTCTCCTTAAGGCCTCGCGTCGAACACCTGCAGCTCGTTTGCAGTCTCCCAATGGGGAGAGGGAGGGCCTGGATCTTGGGGTCGACCTTCGCGGAGGTATTCGTCGGAGAGGAGCGGCGGCCAGCGGCGACGGAAAGGTATCTCCGGCGGACAGGCTTGAGCGTGAGAAGAGAGAAGAGAGAGGAGAGAAAGAGAGGGCAGACAGGAAATGAGTTAAAGGGCAATTTTGGGTTTTGAACAAATATTTGTTACTGTGCTGCGTTGGAAATCTAAATGGGGGCTGAAACACACGTGGATGTTATATGGGGGGCTTTGTTACCCAAAAAATAATTAGGGGGGGCTGGTCACAACAGCTTTATTATTTTAGGGCCTTAAAACATTTTTCCCAAAATATTATAGCATTTTAAAAAATAGTATAGCATTCAAAAAATAATGTAGCATCTAAAAAAAGAATTAATGTAGCAAAAATGGGCCGGTCCGGCCTAGCCCACTCCCGCAAGACCTAAGTTTAATTATTAATATTTACTTTGTGTAGAAAAAAAAAATAGGCCTAAGGTAGTCAGGTATTCCTTCAAAGTCTAAATTGCATATTTCTTTGTATGTGCGATATTTTTCTGTATGATGTGTGTGTGGGTATGATTTTATATAAAGAGTTTGAAATAAAAAATAAATTAAATATAATTTTTAAAAAACATTAATACAAAGTTAATATAGTTTAGCAATGAAAAAAATTAAAAATCAATGGGCCAATCTACGACCCATGGGTTGTGGGCTGGTCCGTCCCAGGCCCGCTCCTAGACGGGTTGTAGGCCGAGCCAGGTTCAGTCCTAGACCTAGAAGCATAGAAGCAAGCCCAACCCACTCTCACCCATGCAGACGTGGTCTTAAACCTAGCGGGCTGATTCATGGGCCTGAACCGGCCCGGCCCGGCCCACGCCCACCCCTATATATCACTTACAAATAAATGTTTAGAGATTAATTTGACATCTGATCTCTTGGGAAAGTCCTTGCTACATATTGTAGGCTGTCTAAAAATCATTGCAGATAGCTGATCCCCATCAAACACCGATGATGGAAGTTACAATTTGACGGCTTTCAGAAGGCTACAATTTAAAGACTTTCATGTAGATCGATGAAGGTTACAATCTGACGATCTTCACAACAACTAATGAAAGCTCTAATCAACAGCCTTCACAATCAACATCGGGAGTTACAATCTGACGACTCTCATATATCAAAGAGCTAAAGCAAAGATTACAAAATAACGATCTTTGCAACGCTTTGACTGAAGGAGACTACAAATCGACGGTCTCTTCAAATTAAGACGCGAAAGTCCTCCCCGCGTACAAGCATCAAGACGCACCGCGTTCACAGCCGCTGATATAGTGCAAACGCAACTCACATTCAGCTTCAAACGCTGCAAACGCAGCTCAGATCCAGCTGCCAACGCAGCTCATGTTCGGCCGCAAACACAGCCTCCGAAAGCTGCCAACGCAGTTTCCATCCACTGCAAATGCAGCTTCCAACAACTGCCAAACGCAGCATCTAACTGCTGCCAACGCAGCTTCCAACCGCTGCCAAACGCAGCATCTAACTGCTGCCAACGCAGCTTCCAACCGCTACCAAACACAGCATCTAATAGCTACCAACGCAGGTTCCATCTGTTGCCTAACGCAGCTCGCAAACACTACGTTCAAACGCAGATTTCATTCCAGAATGCAAGATTTGCGTTTGACTCGTTCAAACACGAGTTGAACGGTTCCAGAAACCGTTTTCTCCCCATGATCTGAGGGATTTCCGCCTCCACTTAGGAGCGGATTAAGGAGGCGGTTACACCCCCATTCAGCCCCACTTAGGAGTGAATTAAGGGGGCGGTTACACCCCTTAATCCCCTATAAATAACTAAAAAATCAGTTTAGTTGAGGGCTCTTCGGCTTGGGCAGATCAAGAGAGATCTTTGGATCATTGAGCATTTTCAGATCTAGAGATCGGCAAAGGGCATTCTTCGACAACATGAGCTATCTTCGTGCTTGGCTTGTCTAACCAATTACGGTTAAGATCAATTAACTCTTTTACAAGAATTTAAACTCGCTCTGAGTTATCAATTCGTTCAGAGTTTTAAACTTGCCACGCGAATCCTCCACAACGTCAAATCGTGAGAAGGAGATACTGTTCCAGTGAATCAAGACGTGCGGATTGTCAACGAAGAGCAAACTCGACGCGAGCATTCAAGGGAGGCACTTCATCACCACCGTGAAGAACCCAGAATTAAACAAAGGGGAGAATCCAGATCATTCTCCTCTTTTTTGTAATCGGGAATCCAAATTGTAATTAAGATCAAGAGAATACAAATCAAATTTTTTTCATTCTTTTTACTGCAAATTTTCCCACAAACACAGATATTTATATGTCATATTGGCATCATGACATAATTGAGTACATATTGTTTAGCTCATAATAAGATCCAATTTTTGCTTTAAAAAAATACAAAAAACTATTGTATCAAAACTATAATTTTTTGATGATGAGGTGAGGGAGAATCAGAAATGTACAGTAAAACCTGTCAGAAAACGGTTTAATACAGGGGTATTTGTTCATCAAAACTAGGAAAGCAACCAAATAATTAACAAACAATTTATTAATTGTTTAACTAACTATTTGATCATATTCAATTCAGTAGTTCGTATAACATTGAATAAATAATATTTAGTGTTCGAGTTCCTTAATGAATAGAATTTAACCAGGTATATATTCAATTTGCTTGCTTATCAAATATCCGTTTAAAATTTAATCGCTTATATTTTGTATTAGTACACATATAATGTTATATCTTCAACCCACTTATATTTTCTACTTAAGTTCTACATATTAATTTTGAGAGTCTTAAAGAATCTTAAATTAGTTTTGTAATAAAATTTTTGAATTAAATATATATACATCATAACTATAAAGAAATACTTTTCATTTATAAATTTAAATACTATTTAAAAATTAAATTCTTTGGCGGAATAAGTACACTTTAACATTCGATAAATATTCATGAATCAAATATCAAGTATCCGAGTCCGAATTTGAAAAACTCCAAACGTGGATGTTCATGTTTGAGTTCGAATTCTATAATTAGTATTCAAGTGGATTCGTTCGTTTACCACCCGTAACCAAAACCAACTGAGATTTAAAGGTATAAATCGAATTTTCTGAGTATATATGAAACTTGCTACACATCCCTGATAAGGGGTCACGAACAACAGCTTATATTATACCTAACCCCACTATTACTATATCTCGACTTATATAAATAAATACAACAAAAAAGCATCAGCCAGTAGCCAGCTTTCCCATTTGAACAACCACCCTCCAGCAAATCTCCAAGCATTCGACCTTCCTGCTGTTGGAGAGTACACAGATCATTCAATGCTAAACCGTAGGTGGCAGCATGTTCGAGGTGTATAACAAATGCCAAATCCTGATATAATACACAATGGAACTTCTTAGTTCAGCAAAATCTCTAGCTGGGTAGTAATAATAAAGGAAAGGTTAGCATGCGCTGATAACTATCCTCTTATGGGGTTGCTCCGGTTATTTGGGCATTTCCTGCCCTTTGTTCATGCTTTCTTTTACTGCGAGAACTGTGTCTAGACCGAGATCTGCCTGATTTTGAAGGATGCTTCTCTGCGGGATCTTGATCGATTGGTAACTTTTCGGACGGGAGCTGGGGAGGTGCATCTGGCCATGGAGTTCTCTTTGCAGGAACTGTGATATCCAGAGGGGGGTTTATTATCCATCTGGAAAAAAAAGGGTCAGAAACTTGCAACTGCACTCACACAAATTTTCTGAAATTGATATAAATGTAGATTACTGTTGATATAATATGTAGGTTAATTGCAAAATGACATGCAAGCTTGGACATCAACAGGTGGGCTATCCTCGCCACGTCCAAGCAGGCTGCCAGCAAGCGAAGCAACATAATTTAAGGGATTGTGTATCTATATTTGAATTTTACGTCCAAGCAGGCTGCCAGCAAGCGAAGCAACATAATTTAAGGGATTGTGTATCTATATTTGAATTTTAGAAAATGTATGACACAATGTCAGACGAAGCAACATAATTTAAGGGATTGTGTATCTATATTTGAATTTTAGAAAATGTATGACACAATGTCAGAGGAGGTCCAATTACCTTTCCCTAGTGTTCAGTACACAAAAGCAACTTCATATCGCCATAAGCGAGCAGCATCTCTAATCAAGGTTCTAAATATCGGATAGTGGGAAATTATCAGATGGGATTGTGGATATCGGAGAATTATCGAGGATATGTAGTAAATATCGGAGTGTCAATCTCGAATGATGTGCATACATAATATAATGTCTCAAATGTAATATAAACATATGTAATGAAATCTAAACATACAAAAATGTAAATAATATATGTTTAGAATCACTAACCAACTGTAGAAACTACTAAGGGAAAAGAGCATATTAGGATTTAGCTAAAAAAGAGTCATATGGGTGGACTTTTTGTTAAAAACCTTAAGAAATTTTTGCATAACTATATTGGAGTGTCTTAAATGTAATATAAACATATGTAGTGAAATCTAAACATACAAAAATGTAAATAATATATGTTCAGAATCACTAACCAATTGTGAAAACCACTAAAGGTAAAGAGCATAACTATATTGCTTCAAGACAAGTTATATAAAAGGACATATCGACCAACATATCGACTGATATATTGGCCATGTCATGGATCTATTGCCCAAACATTGCTAAAAAGCAATGAAGGACATTAAGACCATATCGTTTAGTGGCAAGCCTTATAAAAGGCTATATCAACCAATATATCAGGCTATATTGGGGATATTTAAAACAATGTCTCTCATACATGACATATTAAGGAAATTAGACACGTGTCTATAAGCACGCATGATAACACTATCATTTCCATCTGCGTTGCAGAAGCACTTTTTTATAAAGCCGTACACCTCTATGGCACATAGTATGTATGCTGGACGCTGACACTTATTTTTACACTCCTTGAATACTTTGCCGAATGGTTTTCAAGCCCTTCCTCAATTTACATTATATATGTTTCAATTTTCCATGTTATATACATGTCCCATGCTTCTCATATTTCCAAATAACCAAGTTAATAAGATCAAAACTGATAAGAACATGTAGATGCACATGGATATGAATGTACGACATACACAGATAAAATTAAAATAGATAAACAAATTAAAGAATGTCTCTGCTACCGCATATGGAGACCGACACAAATGACATCGTAGTTTTCAGTTTTTGCACACAACAAAGGGAATTAAGAACAATCAAAGTTGTCCTATATGCAAAATTAACCTTATTCTTAACCTCTAAAGATTGACAATAAGACCATTCATTCTTGGAATCAACATAAAAGTTGGGTTGACACAAATCTTTTAGGTGACTGCAAGCTACAAAAAGCATGCTTAATAATAAACATATAATAATAGGTTTGAGGAAAACTATCTTCTTCAGAGTAACCTAAGCAACAGCTATGGTTTTCATATTTTATGCATGCTTTTAATAGAACAATCAACACCATACTAAGGACTGGGACATTATTGACATGCTACCTGGTCATATACTAGTTTTTTCGCATCTCCTCTGCTTGTGCGTCTTACCATGTCCATTGTCGGAAGGTTAAGCACAAAAACCTGTGTTACTGTACTGAAAAGATTTCTCACTTGCAAATACACGCAACAATCAAGTGAAATTGTGAATCCTGTAGATTACTTATGGTAACTTCTGATGCAAAGATTGTACATAATTTATTATACATATTTCTTGAAATATAATTGAGTCGTAGAATTTCACTTTCTGAACAGGCTACTTGAAGTAGAAGCGGATGGAGATAATATTAGACATAACTAGAGACACGTAAGAAGCACATCTCACATCTTATGTATGCGAATAGAGACAACTTTCTTTTAACACCGTATTTAGTTTCATATTTAACATTGTACAAAGCACCAGGCTCCCAGTGTTCATAGGTTAAGACCTCATCATTAACAACTTAAACATATGTTTATTTATACCATTTATTTTATGTATGCGAATAGAGACAACCTTATTTAACACCGTATTTATTTACACATTTAACATTGTACAAAGCACCAGGTTCCCAGTGTTTATACGTTAAGACCTCATCATTAACAACTTAAACATATGTTTATTTATCCCATTTATTTCGATAGAGGACTTCTCATGTGATATGTCCTGAAGGCCTGTGTAATATGAAACGCCAAATACTCAAATCTGCCATTGAGAAGAGTAGTTATTACTTAGCAAAGAGAGTATTTGCATAAGACAATGTGACTAGTAAATGTGTAAGCATTACGCTGTTAGTGGTAAAGCTATTAGTGGTAAAACAACTGACACAAACATATAGCTTGAAGAAGTTTATATTGTGCACACTGCACAGACATCAATATGCCAAAGGGGGTAAAATATGCCCCCGTCCTAATAATCCTTATGGATTAAGATTTGTTTGACAACAATGGTATAACCTTGGTCAGTTCACACTTGTAAAATTTGCCCTTTCATCCACCTAAAAACTATAAGGTATTTCAACCATCCCATTTATATGGCTTACACAGCTCACCTCCATATGATGTAAAATAGCCTTCAAGTTTTTGGATCTCTTCAAGAGAAAATGACATCCAGTGACATGCTAAATTCCGAATTATCTTCCTCTTTCTCCTTTATCCTCCCAAAAGTACAAGGTATGGATTCGTTGACATCAAGTGCAGGCACAAGTTTGGGCATCCTGTAATGGATTAATTCTTGTACTATAAAAACTATTTTCCTGGGTAGTATGATTGTATATAGAGGAACTTGGACCCTTCTAAGCAGATCAAATATGTAAACATTGATGACAGGAGGTTCTTTTCATAATAACGTGAAGAATTCTTTTCCAGGACTTGATTCAATGCACTGAGATATCATAGTTGCATACTTCCAAATTGCTAGGCACAAATAAAATCTACATGCCCATGTAATTAACCCATCAGTTAATTATAAGAAACTCTGTTTAGCCCGTTGGTAGATCTGTGTTTGAATATCTATATATGCAACTGTGCATAAAGTTCAGTAAGATCTTAATCATAGTGAGTCTTTGTTTACCAACTGGTAAAACTATGTACCTGTTTAGTGTTTTCTTTGATTATGTATTCACTGAATTCTAACAGTTGACAGGTTGATTTAGTCTTCAAAAAAAAGGTCTATTTTGAATAAAATCTAGACACGGGTTTTTAGAAATATTCCTTAAAATAACAATATTGTCACAATGAAGGATCCAAGTTTGTTTATGCACCACAGTGGATCTCTTCTACAACTTAGGTTGAAAAGCCTTTTTGATCCTGCAAAAGCCAATCGTTGCAAACCAAAAACATTAGTCGAAGCCAAGAGTAACCATATGCACATTGTGGTTCATTTAAATGGGTCTTAAGTTAGTAAGTTACACCAGGAAGAACCAATACCGAGCATGAGAAAAGTAAGATCTGCCCATGAATAACATACAAATGGCTGACTTTGGGCGGCAATAAAAGTAATTAAAATTGTGTATTAATTACTTTTCCATTTTATACGACTAGGGATTAAATTTCAGCCGATTCAAAAAGCGTGGAGGCAATTTAAAATTTTCTTTGTTCGAAGCCTTGCTGTGTAGTAAAGCAACACTAAGATATTTCCATCATTGATTTCCACAAATCTCCTCCTACATCATGCTCTAAAATAATATAAGGCATCAACGCCAGCGCAAACATCTAAAAGAGAACACAATTCAGGGAGGGTTTTTTTTTTTGGGGGTGGGGGGATTTGAATTGTGTTTTCGTCTAAGTACTGAACTATGCCAACACATATTAAACATATTGTATTAACTTTTAAGCATGTCAATCTAATCCACCTGATACCATCAATATTGGCCAAAAACAACTACTGTGGAATGATATTAGTTAATAATAACCAACATATGAGAAGATTTGAGCTTCAAAGTACCAAAATTGATCTCATAGTGTTGTACTCGCAGAAAATAAAAACAAATAAGTGAATAAAAAATTTATGTTCAGATTTTTGACTTATTCCATGTATCTAAGCTCTAATCCAAAATTTGTGTCTCTCGGAACTCCCGATACTAATGCATGAGATTTTAAATTTTGGTCTGGTCATTTACAATTTATAAAGGCATCCATATTCCATTGATACTCATAAAATGGAGCTTATTACCATGGCAACATATACAATGGAAGTTACCATGCATATATTTCATTAAGACAAGCCTAGCCCATTTGTTCGTGGTGGATGACCAGCTACATTCCCTATAACTAGGTGGCAGAATAGCGATATGCATTCACAAGATCTATGTTCTGCCGAAATATTACTAACAAGACTAATATCATGAATAAGAATGGTGCATCAAAAGATCAGCAGGTAAGGTATAACACAGCAAAAGGGAAACAGATAGCATTGCATCACAGGAAGATACATCTAAAACAATTATTGCTATCAAAGTGAGAAAATAATGGGTTCTAGAAACAAACCCGGGAGGGAACTTGCTGTCTGCCCGTGCTTCCACCCGTAGCCACCACAGCATAACCTTCTTCCCGCAGCTTCCAAGAGGCTCAACACCACTGGCTTCCTTTAGCAAAGCCAGCGGGCTCTCAATCTCCTCCCCATTCAAACCCACGGAATCAAGATCCCTAACCCATTCCGGCTTACCCTCATCTTCTCCCCACACCAACTTTGAGTTCAGAACAAACCCAGCCCATTCTATCTTGGTCGGCAACACAGTCCCAACATCACCAACAGTAGTAGCAATATTTTCCATAAACGGCAATGAATTGAAAGTATGCCAACCAACCAACTGGTTCGATGAATTGCAAGCTGGACCTTGGATAGGCAGCGGCATATTCTCCTTATCTTCCTCACTCTTCTTCTCATTCTGAACTAAAGGTTCAGAGTTCCCGGAATGAGCAAGAATTCCGACTGATAACGCACCAATCCACTTCACTTTCTGAATCTCATCAAACAACTCCAAGCTATGCATGTTGCTGTCATCGGCAAACACCACAATTCCATCCAATTTCCTCTCTTTAACAACCCTAGTAAGTTGCATTCACAGTCAATCAGATCTACCCAATTGCTTAAAGAAAACTAACAAGGATATGATGTAGTTCAAACCTGAGCGCCTGGATCCGCATCAAAGCTTCCATTTTATGCCGATCCGGCCATTTCAGTGGCATCCCCCGCTCGAAACCCAAATGAATCGTCTTAATCTTCGACCGTTCAATCAAATCCGCAGTCTCATTCGAGATGCCGCCGGCCTCAACAACAATCCAAGTCAAATCGTACGGCACAAGCATCAACGTATGCATCAGTCCAGTGAGATGCAGGGTCTGGAAAGTTCTAACATAAGTCGGCGTAATGACAACAACGGGTCTGGGGTCTTGACCCCATAACTGAGCTCGCTGCTCCTGCTGAACCCGCTCCATGATCGCGGTGAGCCTTCATCGTCTCCGTCGGATCCGGATGGGAAATGGCCGGATCAAGATCCGTGGCGGCCGACGACGAGCGGCTGGGTCAGTTTCGGGGCGAGCTTCTGAGGCAGGTTTAGGGTTAGGGTCTGGAAGGGGAGAACAGGGACAGCGACGTGATTCTGGTCGGGATTAGGGTTTGGGCTAGGGTTAGAGAAGAGGAGGAAGAAGAGGAGGCGGAAAAGCGAAACCCGAGGCGGGCTGGCGAGGCAGAGGGAGTGGAGGGCGAGCCAGAAGAGTGAGGATGGGGACTTGTCGGCGGCGACGACGCGCGGCGGCGGCGCGAGGAGTCGGCGGCGGAGGACCGGAAGCTGGTGGTCCGGCGAGCTGGATTCTTCATTGAATTGGCGGTGTCTCTCTCTAGAGTTAGGGTTAGGGTTAGTTGAATCTTGGCTTAAAGTGTTAATTTAGGTTTTTAATAAAGAGAGGGGTTGGGAGTGGTTGAGAGAGTGTTAATGGTTGCTTTGAGGTCAAGAGAGCAGAGAGAGAGGAGGGAGGGCCAAAAAAAAAAGGAGAGAGGGGGGGTTGTCGGGTCGGGTAGGTAGGCGTTGGGTCCGATTTCGGACAGAGAGGATTAGGAAAGTTCTTTTATATATATAGAGAGAGAGAATTAACAGGAGACGCGTTTGTCTCGTGGGAATATTCATTTTCTTGTTACGTCTGGCGGGAGTGGGCTCCGTTTGCTGAGCTGTCCTTTTACGGGATTTTTAGGTTTATCTGCTTACTTTTTGTCAATCGTAGTCGACTTTCACTTTTATCTCACAGAAAATGCGTAAGTTATTAAGTTATATGTGACAATTTTTTTACATTTCAATTTCATAACCACTTACATACAAATCAAAACTAAAATTAATGTGATTTTGACTTCCCCTAAAAAATGACGAAGTCACATGAAAGTGACCAAAATAATAACCAATTTTAATTAAATAAATTTAACTGCATTTACTGATTAATCTCATTTTGTCACATCACATTCACAATGCATTTTAATAGTAATTTTTTTTTCAAACAAACGATTGTATTTCACTTACATGCTAACATGGACGTAAAAGTCATTTGCAAAAAAAGATTTAATAATAATAATAATAACGTACACATTTTGAATTCACTTTCGAACTGCCCAGACACCCCCTTAATCCTTTAAATCGTTAATCCTGATAGTACTTTAAAATTTTAAAATTATGCATTTAGTCTCTCAAATTGTGCAAATGCTATTGCGTCCCTTGATTTTTTTTATGAGTTGTTCTAGAAGCAGCCTCTTGAATTGTTGAAATTGATGTTAGGTTTCCAATTCTTGTAACTTGTCCTAAACTAATGTTTCAAGTAATGAATAGCATTTGCGCGTTATAAAAATTGGAGGGCCTAATGATATTTTCAATGATCTAAGAGTCTTATTTCAGACCATTAAAAGATTTAACGGGTTAATATTCTAGTTAATTTAATTACCTTTACATGTGTTTGTTTTTACTCTTATCCTCTGAGTCTGACATGACTACCAAACCTCTCGCCCCTTCTTGGCAACATTGCGGAATTATTGGGCCATAGATACGAAGATTTAGATGGTAATTTGAATTATCTATATACGGAGAGAGAGAGAGAGTGTGTGTGTGACATGATCGAGTTTTAATGTTACATTCATAAGCACTTAATGAAATATATTATTTATATGATCATCAAGACGTAAATCGACCAAAAAGTACTGCTTAGTTTCCCAATTGGCCAATTCTTTTTATTTTTTATTTTATTCTGTAGAAAGCCCAAGCATTCGGCCCTTCGAACTTTTTGGCCCATGTTACGAAGGGCCCATCACGTAACGAGCTCTCGGCATCCATGGACATGGCCTTCGGTGTAAAACAATAGTGTTAGATGCTGTGATACAATTCAATTAACATTTCTTAGCTATTTTTATATCAAAAAAGAAGGAAAAAGCAAATCTTACGTATTTCCATTAAACAAAAAGCATTCCAGTATATTCTTTTAGAAGGCATTATTCTGAAATTAAACAATTTTAAAGATTTCGTTAGTATCCAAACATTTGATTTTGTCTTTTCCATCACAAAACCACCGAAATTAATGAATAGATTGAATAAAAAGAAAGTAAAACATATAAAGCTCAAGGGCTTTGATTTCCAAAATTCGTTCAGTTCATACCAAAGGCGTTTTGTTTGTAGATCATCATACAAAGTTCCTAGCATTCACATGATGGCAGTTACTTCAGCCTGTATTACAAAATGAATGTACTTAAAACCCGAAAAAAATTAACCTTCTCACCCCTTCTCCACAGCGAACTACATCAAAGTCTGTACGCGTACAGATTTACCCAGGCTTAGCGGAAAACCCACACTTCTTCCACGAGTATCGTCACGCGGTTACAATTGAAAAATTTTGGGAATAAAACGTACATGCTCGCGACGCTCTTTCCTTTATCGACATGCAATTTCGACGTCTGGCTACACCTCTCTCACAGCAACACTGAGAACTTCTCCGTTTAACAACCAGTACCCAGCCAAGACTTTGAACTCCAAACATAGAGAGAACACAACGCAAAATTTAGCAATTAAACGAGTCATGCAAAGACGACCAGGGAGTAGGCGTAAATAAACCTTAAAGTACCCCAGATTTAGATACTCCCAATCCCATACCCCCCCCCCAACCCCAAACAAGATGACACACATAAAAAACTAAGTAAATAAATTATTTGATAAGAAATAATGTGACACACAACTAACAAAACTTACAACAAAGCTTTCTGGTGTCGGCTATACCTAACAAAGCTTGAATAATAGTGAAGTATTTGACGGTGTAATTTTAGCTCCCAGTCAATTCCTTCATTCGTGCATGTGACGTATTTTTACTAGCTCCAGCATGAGACCAAAAAAAATCTAACCTAAAAAAGCAATTGAAAGCATAATCAGGCTTTTGAAGAAATTGTCTGAGAAATCAGCGCTTATACTAGTCCACATTAGCTTACGTGTGTGACATGAGACCGCCTAAAAAACCAATATGGTATTGGGACATCAGGCTACTACTTTAAATTGAGGGGGTTGGGGGGGGGGGGGGGGGGGGGGCTGATTCCATAACTCTCCTCCTTCCCGAATCTATATTTGATTTTGCGAGCATAGATACAGCACAACTCAGTAATTCAATCACCTTAAACAATATGGCATTCCACACATCTAGTACACCTTAAAACGTTCATATAAGCTGTCGCATCTTCGCGGTTGAAGAACTGTCAGGTTGGCTACAAGTTATGTACAATGGATCTCACCGTATCAGTTATTCACCATGTCATACTCGAAGAAGCGTTCACAAGTGAGAAAATGAAGCTTGATAGAAGCAAGTACATACTCTCAAAAGAGATCACTGATCTCATAATGAATTGTAGATGTTTTCATACATAATTGACATTTTGGCTCTATGTTTGTATAAGGGAACTTCCTAAAACGATCACGTCAAACTAATGTATTTCTTCCACTCTCTTACATGACACCTCCATACCTCCACGTCCTCGAAGTAATTGCAACATCCTGGAGATCCTGAATCACCTTTGAAAAAAAAATCTCCACGCTTCTTTTTTCTCCCTCTCTTTACAAACACATGCATAAACACGTGTGCGTGCGCACTTACGCACTACTAATGATAAGCATAGCTCGATCTCATGCGGGTGTATGTGGGTGGGTTTTTTTTTTCTGTTTTTTTTTTTTTTTTTTTTTTTTTTGGGGGTACTGGATAGAATCTAACCTCATCTACCCAACCCTGAGTAAGGCCTTAGGATCTAATCCTCTGTGATGTTGATGCTCAGCAAAGCAAATGCCATATTGCTTTACTTAAAATGCCAATCTGATATGTATGAGCTCAAAGAGAAGAAAAATCAATAACTACACTTCAAAAAAAACACAAATGGTTGAGAATTTTGCAGTCCCTATGAAAACCAAAACCATGTCCTCCAAAAAAGGAAAGATGAAAGGCTTCGATTTTAAATTACAACAATAAAACCTATATCTATAGCTTGACTGAGCCAGCTAAAGACCTAGCAAGTAAAAGAACTTCAACAGGTTACTACAATTCGAAAAAGCACAAAATAGTTGAGAATTTTGCAGTCACTTTGATAACAAAAACCATGTCCTCCGAAAAGAAAAGATGAAAGACTTTGGTTTTAAATTACAACAATAAAGCCAATATCTTGCTTGACTGAGTCAGCTGAGAACCTGGCAAATAAAAGAAGTCAACAGGGTTAACAACCCACTTGGAACATCAAGTAGACATGAGCAGAAAATTAAAACATAAACATAGCTTAGCAAGTTGACAATTCTTCTTCAGACTTCTAGAATATTATTCGGAAAAAGTCTTCATCACTCTAGCTAAAAAAGCTCATGATTCTAAAGTGATTTTTCCCTAATATCCTTGACTTTGAATATGTAGAATAGATCATGACGTTCTTACTTTTAATTTGTGACGCCGATGGCTCAACAAAGCAGCATTTAATTGCGCTTTGAGATATTACTCTCAATAAACAATAGTCTAGCGTTGATGAACTAAAGAGAAGAAGAATTCAATTTATAACAAAAAACCAAGGCTTTTAGAAATACAACAAGAAGGACACCGTGTTCTTTGCAAAGCAAAGATCAAAGACTCCATCGCTTAAATTGCAATGGTTAAGCTGAAATCTTGCTTCAAAAAATCAGCTAAAGAACCTGATAAGGAAGGGAGAGGGGGTTACAGACTTACAGTCAGTTATAATATTATGTGCCTGTTGACAACAGAAATTAGAGACAAATCAAAAATTGTGACATGGCATAGCAACTTGACATGTCTCTAGCCAACAATTTCCATATTCTTTTAACTATTTTTTCCGAGTGACTTGGCATAGCAACTATTTATCCATGTCTCTAGCAAAATAATTTGAATATGTAAAATAGTAGAAGTCTCTACCAAGTGATTTATGACCTTTCCAGTTTCTGTTTGGAACAGCAAGACTTTGCTACAGTGGTCATGAAAATATCATCTAAGAGTGGGTCATTGTACCTTATAATAATACCTAAACAATCACTTAAGAAATGTCAAAGTTATCACAGCTTCAAGTTAATACTACCAGAAATCAAAAACTGGGGAAGACGTACATCACCAGATGCTGCTCACTCATTCATGTCCAGATTCCCATAAAAAATGACATGTTAGAGTTGATAAATGCTTAGATGATCGAATAATACAGGATACCAAGAATACTGATGTTGCTTATAATCTATTATGGCAACTTAGTAAGATCTATCCACCTTAAATATTCTATGTCATGCGTGATGATTAATGTTACTTGAAGCGTTATACATCACTTCTGTGATTTACCTTGCAATCAAACACACTGAGCAACAACAAAAATTTTAATTTTTCAAATAATGGTTGCAGATTTTGTGAGGCAAAAGAGAAAGGGAAATGAAAACATCTCTCCAGGAAAATGGCATTGTGAACAGTATTAGCGCAATTTTGCTAATTAATACAGCTAGCAAGTTCATGTTCTATAGATAAGAACGCCAGATATTATACTCATGCAACAACCTTATCAGTGATGAATTGAGCAAACAAATACGGGTGCATAAGACATGTATATGCAACATGATAAATAAGAACAAGTTGTTGTTTATAACCAACAGCAATCGATTCCGAAGGAAAGCATGAGCAGCTAAATGAAATCACTATTTTACCGCTGCAGCAACCAAAAACACAAAATAAATAAAACTTAATAGAAAGCAACAAGAATATGGAACATATCAATGCAAGAAATTGAAGAGTTGTTCTCTTTACTTTGACAAGTGAAATTGATTTCCATTGTTGTCAGCTGCTGCTGCCGCCATCCCCCTTGCCCCATCTCCTAAGAGTCGAAGCAAAAAAGTTCTTCCCCGACAAAAGTAGCATCTTGTTCTTCCATGGTGATGACCTACCATTGCTTGTTGACGGCATATCAATGTCGTCCATTTGCTGAGCCACTCCATCGATTTGATCTCCTGCACCAATTTCAATCATCCCATTCTCACTTAGACTCATATCTTGCATCTCCATCTGCACAATGGAGTCTAAATTGACAGCCAATGATTCCCTGCTTGCCCTTAACCAATCCGCACCCTCCGGTGTAACTCCCCTACACTTCTTCACCTTCACCTTTATCAAATTCGGGCATCCTTCAGCAAGTGCCTCCATACCCTGATCAGAGACCGGGCACCCTTTAATGCACAACTTCTTCAAAGCTATGCATTTTGAGGCAATGCAAGAAATCTCAGCATCCCCAAATGTCTCACTTCCACAAAGAGCTAATCTTTCCAGATTTTTACAGTTGCTAGCTATGAGCCCTAAACTTGCCCCTGTCGGATTAACACCAATCAAAACCAATTCTTGAAGATTAGGGCAACGTCTGGCCACAGTTATGAGCCCTTCATCACCGATTCGATTCGTCTTCCATCCATCGATATGTAGCTTCCTCAAAAGCCTGCACTTTTCCGCGACCGAGCTCAGCCCTAGATTAGTGCACTCAGGAGTCTTAACAAGATGAAGAACTTCAATCTCAGAGCACAGAGACAAAGCAAACAGCCCGCGATCGCTGACATGGAGCTTCTCCAAATGGATCTCAACAATCCCCCGCGCGTTCTCAGCAATCTCTTCAAGCAACCGATCCCAATCTCCAGAGCACCTGAACAATTTTAGGGTTTTAAGGTTCGGCGATCCAGCAATCAACGGACCAAAACACTGTCCATTATACAACTCCTTCAAGCAAACGGATCTAAGAGATTTTGCAGCTGCGCCGGGTCCAATCGATTCGGCGGCGGCATCGGTCAACCCCCGGAGCCTCTTAATCGAGATCTCCTCCAGAAAAGCGCAGCCTTGAAGAACGGCGTCGATCCCTTTGGCGCCAAAAGTGCAAGATCCGCAAGAAAGCTTCTTGAGACTCTTACAATTAGCAGCGAGCGCGGCCATTCCAACATCGGTAATCTCTCTACAAGCTCGCAGCTTTAACCTGATAAGATTAGGGCAGCGCCGAGAGATGACGTCGAGCGCGCCATCGCCGATGTCTATCAGATCGGCGAGTCGCACTTGAGCGCGATCTTCGTGACGGAGTCAAACCGAGCAAAGATCGCCGGATCGCGTCGACGAGAGCAGCGCGCGAGCGTCCAGGGAGAGGCGGTGGCGGCTCTGCCGTCGACGGCGAGCCACCGCCTGCATACAAGCGAGCAGTGCTTTCGATCGCCGGAGGAAAGAGACTGGAAGATCAGAGCAGGCACTCGTCGGGGATTGTCGAGCGTGTGTCGCGTGCGCGGTCAGCGCCTGCCCCGCCGTAGCGCCTCCTGCGGCGGCGGGAGTCGCATGAACCATACTTTTGGCGTGTGATCTGGGGCGGCGAGCTGAGGGAGGAGGAGGATCTCGATGGCGCTGAGCTGGATTGGCCCATTAAAGGCGCACGTTTCGAGAGGGTTCAGCTATCGTGCGCCGGTGGGGGGAGGGACTGTGGCCATGGATTTCTTTTCGCCGCTGGCGGATTTGTGTGGGATTTGGGAAAAGATGGGGGAGCGGAGGACTTGAGATGGGAATTGAATATGGTTAATTTTGGGTGGGTGAGAAATTGGGAGGGGGGGCTTCTTTGATATTTGGAGAGGAATTGGACGGCTGAGATTAAAAGGGAGGTGGGGCGTCAACGGAGAAGAGGGAGCGCGCTGTTGTCACCAACGGGAACTGAAAAAATTTATGGCGTGCTTTGAACGGAGAATGGGGGGGCTCCTTCGAAGAACGAAGGTTGGTCGAATTCTTTATGGCCCCTTCGCTTTTCAAAATTTCTCTGGTTAAGGCCGCACGACCTCGTGTCTTAGAGCATCTCCAACAGCTTTCCCATCTTCTTGAAATACTTAAATTTGGAGAATATAGAGCTTTTTTTTTTGTCCAACAGATTCCCCATCTCATTCCCCAAAATAGGGAAGGAGGAGAAAAAATAGGGAGTCTTCCCCAAATCTGTAACATTCTCCAAATTTTTTGGGGAGAGCTTTATTATTATAATAAATACGATTTTTCAAAATGGGGAAGCTGTTGGAGTTGGAGCAAAAATAATTTGGAGAATATGACTTTTGTTTCTCCATTTTAGAGAAAATTTTGGGGAAGCTGTTGGAGATGCTCTTATATACTTAACAATTAGATAGTTGACAAAGTGAAGTTGTCCATCTTTGGTTAAATACAAAGTATATAAACGATTCAAATGAATATTGCTGTATTATTGATTCAGATGTTATTTTCCTTTCGTTGCTTCCAATTTTCTAATAATATATATAGTTTTTTTTCCCCCTTGAAAAGTAGAATCAGTATTATTCTATTGAGAAGTAATAATGTATTTGCTATAAATTCTTTTTAGATTAGTAATTGTTGTATCACAGAAATTGTTAAGTATAAATTACTTTTAAGAATGTTACATGCGTCTCGATAATCTAACTTAAGCTTCATAACGCTAACCCGACTCGGGTGTCTCACGAACGCCGGCTCCCCTCCTTAATGCATTTTGAGACTCGAGATTAAAGGCGTTCTTACATGGACTCTCTCGAAGGACCAGGACGGAAGGCGTGTCAACTTCGACTCTTGGAGGATCGAGACGAAACGTGTCATCACCTGTAAAGCCAAAGGCATCCTTCCTCAAACTCTCTCGAAGAACCAAGACAAAAGGCGTCTCGAATCGATCCCGGCAACGCATCTCGAACAACAGGAGGATCTATCTGTTTCGTCTTCCCCAGCGATGTCAGCTGGTCACCATCGCATTTAATGCATGGTCAGAGCCATTATTACATCCTTGTCGAAAGTCATAATGACTCCTCAGATAACGTCAGTACCTTATCCGTTTTGTTGCCGCTGCATTAATGCAAGGATGATTCGGACCACTAGTTGTCGACGCATGTAAAATGTCGTCTGACTAAGCTAATTGCATGGACCAGATCGAAGTTATTCAAATACACTTTTCGGCTCACTATAAATATGTAGATTGTCTTCTGCATGGGTTACACTGTTCTCCATAATGAAAAACTCTAAAAACTATTTCTTTCATACTTTCCTCTCTCTTAAGATCATCACTAACTTGATTGTTCCGAAGAACCACCGGAGAACCCAACTCCAACCCTCTGACATTTTGTATGTACAGAAATTTGTCTTTTGCTCAGAGCAATCAGCAATTAAATAGGATTGAGGGACCTTAAGCTCTCCTAAATCAACTCTAGCCCCACAAATAAGTTTCTGACGTAAACGGTAATATAAGATCAAAACAAGCGAGAATTTCTCATGAATGGCGGTTGATATTGGTTTTTCTCTTGTTTCGTATAATTATAGTTACTAGTAAAAAAAAATTTAAATACGAGAAGCATGTATCATGCCGTTGTATTGTGGGGACGGAAGCATATGGATGGGGATCAAATTCCATGCCCTTTTTTTATTACTTTCTTATTCTTTGGCGCAAAAGGATTCAGAAGAAATTCATCATTTGACTATTGAAGGGGCTAAAAATAATTTTCCTGCTGGAGTAATCTTAAGACTTGGGCCCATCTTTTTGGAGCTTCTGAGACGTTTTCCTTTTTGAATTGTCTGCGTCGGTCACCGTTGCGCGCGTCGGCAGGCAGAGGTGGGGGGGATGGACGGGAGACAGAATGACGGTTGGTTTCCAAGTGTAATTATGGCCGTTTATTGACCATTTTTCTTTGGAGTCCGAATCAATTAAATGAGGCCGGTTATTTATTTGGAAGCTTCTAATTCTGTTTCGTGAGCTCTGAACCGGGTCCTAGTTAGGGTTGCGAGTTAAGACATCATTTACGAAATACAAATTAAATCGGAATACTCTCTGTATACAAGTTCGAACTATATAATAAGGGCATCTCCAACAGTTTCTCTAAAATTTTCTTTAAAATAGGGAAGCAAAAGTCATATTCTCCAAATTATTTTTACACCAACTCCAACAGCTTACTCATTTTGAAGAATCACTTTTTTCCTCTAAAATTTTGGAGAATGCTGCAGATTTGGGGAAGTTTTCCCATTTTTTCTCCTCCATCCCTATTTTGGGGAATCAGATGGGGAATCTGTTGGACCAAAAACCTAACTATATTCTTTAAAAGTGGGAAATGTGAAAGCTGTTGGAGATGCTCTAAGTAGCGTACAAGAGCAACTGTAAATCAGGATGTCACATAGTGCGCCGAGTTTAATATTGACACGGTCTTGGTCGAGGAAAACATGCGTTGTTTTGAATTTTATATTCTATGCAATCGACTGAAGTTCCACACGTTCGTAAAGAAGATAATTAAGCTCGTAATTTTGTTGCAAATTTTACTAGGATACATCAAAAGTGAATTCGGCTGATAGGTGAGATACTGGAGGAGCTCAATGACCTTCCTTAGACGTTAGAGGTTTTTAATTTTTTTAGATAGATGAGTTATGTCTGTAATCACAATAAAATAAAAGGTAACAAAAACAATTTGAAGTTAAAAGTTGTTACTCGTAATAAACCTCTCATTCCTAAGATCAAAATAAAATAATACAATAATAAAAAGGGAAAATCCTCTTTTAACCCAAAGTTTTACCCCAACTTATTTAAAAACTCATTCACTTTTCAAAACATCAATAGACCCACTATATCACATCCCACTTATTTTTAAACCCAAATGTACAATACACCCATTATTTGTACTGTATTTATCCAAAAATTTGAAAAATCCTAACTACCATTCATCCCCAACTAATCTCTCCCTCTCCCCTCCTCCTCCATCTGAGCTCAGATAGAGATCTCTCCCTCTCCCCTCCTCCTTCCTCTTCCCTCCTTCACTTCCCCTCAACCACTAACCACCACCTCCTCCTCTTCCCTCCCTTCACTTCCCCTCCTCCCTCAAGCCATCAACCTCTGCATCCACTGCCTATCTCCCCTGCGCCGCGACCGCACTACCACCACCACCGTCGACGCTTGAAGTAGATGAGAATAGCCACCAATGATTTCGACATTGACTCCTGTAGTTCGCCCATCAACCTGAAGCGCACTTGTCATTGCCGCCAGTGGACGGAGCTTGAGGAGCACTCGGATGTAATGGCGGAGGTCGAAGACCGCTTGGCTTTGTAAGGAGCTGCTTTCGCATAAGCCAGACGACGATGGTGAGGATCCTTGGCGCTCAAAGGAAGTGGGTTCGGCCAGAAGGAGGTGGGTTATGTTGTTCTCCATTGCAAGTCAGGTTAGTTCAACTCTTTGCCCCACACTGTTTTGTTGAATTTACGCTTAGTGTTCTCTCTTATCAATATTTGATTTTGATGATTGATGTGGTTACTACAAATTCTAATTTATTGTTCTGTCATTCTAAAATCTCATGAACCTACAACTTGCAGCCTGTTCGTGATCGCTTCAAAAATAACGCTGATGCCAAAAAGCTATTGGAAAAAAGTGAAGGTAACCTTTGCCTTGATATCTCAATTGCTCATAAGATATGTACATTCATAGAGATATCAAAAATAACGCTGATGCCAAAAAGCTATTGGAAAAAGTGAAGGTAACCTTTGCTTGATGCTCAATTGCTCATAAGATATGTACATTCATGAGATATCAACCATGACTTACATAACTATGGTTCCTCTCTGGACATTATGTTTTAAAATTAGAACTATAGTTCTTGCTTGCATTTATGAATAGAATTTTCCTTAGAGTTGATGATTGATGTGAAAATCCTCCCTCTTTTTGCAAGCGTACAAAGTTACTAGGTGATTATTCTTACTTGTTGGTGTTGGGAATGGTGACGAGTTGTAACATAAAAATTCTAATTTTCTTATTGCTTGGTGGTCCTTCAGATTCTTATTGTTCTTGTGGGTTTTGATAATTCGAAGCATTACGACATCAAAATCGATATTACTTTCATGTATTTTGATTTGGAAATGCACGATAAGTTAGAATTGATATTGCATAAAAGCTTATAGATGATTCCTTTGAAAGTGGTATGAAGCCTCTTATGCTAGCATTTCTCGATATTACTTTCATGTATTTTGCTTTGGAAATGCACGATAAGTTAGAATTGACAGTTAATAAAATTTTCTTATCATGCAATCATTGATTGTGACATTTATTTGTGCAGGAGCGTAGATTGTAACATTTTTATGGTGGGATACATATATTCCATCATCAATGGCACACCTAACGTAACGCACAGCTACCCCTCAATCAGAAACCATTCGTCAATGCACACTAACTTTCCAATCAAATACATGAGAGAATCCCCCACTATTGGCATTCGATCAGATCTTCGCATTGCTGTCACATTGCAACCCAAACGGCAAATCAACTACAGCCTGCAATATGATGTACCAAGTAGTATCCAATGTATCGTGTTGTATGAAATTTTCTATATTATGTATATATAGATGATTTGTGTGCATATTGTATCAAATGCACTATCCAATGTATCATGTTGTATCAAATTTATCAGTGTAACTAGTAGAAATGTATCTAGTAGAAATGTATACAACGTTTCGATAGTGGTGATTTTGGATTATTTCCATTCAATCTTCATGGATTATTTTCATTCAATGTTATGCGCTTGAGTTTAGTGGTTGATAGATATGAATATCTGTAATGAACTGATGCACTGATTGAACTGAAGAAATTTTGATGGTAGGTTGTGTTAACTACAGCCTATTGGGCAATATTATGTGTCGCGTGACCAATTATCCACCTCGACGAGGGGTACTCGCTCAATTTTTAGATTTTGATAAAGTATAGCACT